ATTGTGCTAGCCCAGCTAAGATGGGCTCAGGTCCTATTAGGATTTTTCATATAGATAAATGAAGAAATAGAGAGAGAGATACATATATGGATGGATATGCACTTGAAGTAAAAGGCAGGACATGTCAGCCACTCATAGGCATTTGTATGATAAAAAGGAAGCTAAGCAGCATGGTTCCTCTTGGGACCATAAAAAACCTGGCTAGCAGAGTCTTAGTGCTTGACTGTGCAACTGTTATGTAGACCTTATGGCCAACTAAAATTACAAGTCAATATAGAACTGTAATTTAAATGGAACTTCGGTAAAGCTCAGCTTATTCACTCTTCCAATGACAGTGGATGCATTCTTGAAGAGGGTATGGAACAGCACATTCATATAGCTTCCTTAAATATTACCGGCATCCTCCTTTTGTAAGGAAGATCCTTATGGGGTTTTTTTGTTTAGCCATGTAAGTAAATTTCTGGAAGATCATAAATGCCTAGTATAAATAACTGTAGCCTTCAGGCTTTCTCACCTAAAATTGTATTTTATCTTCCACCAGCTGTGCATTTCCAGGAGCATAAAGGATCCTCAGGATAGCTGACTGTAAGACTTGCTGCTTTTGCCTCCTAAACATAGAGTGCCATAGTAGTAAATTGGAATTTTATTTTTCACATTGTCTTTCTGAGGTTGATTTGCTTTCATGGGTGCGTAGACAGGTGCACAGTTTGCGAAGAAAATGGTTGATTCCAGTGGGCTCCTACAAAACTCGTTCCTATTAATTTCTGAATGATGTTTTGCAGAACAGCTGGATGAATTCTTCATAAAGCCTTTTTTTTTTTTACCCCTGTGTAAAGCATTTATATGAATTACATTAAGTCTTAAGGTGCAAAGTTTATGCCTTATGTATTCCTTCTCCCAGGAGAACTGTGATAGTAACGGTTTTGGTCAAATTAAGTACTTATTATTTCGGCTACCTACATTCAGTTTGTGGTCTTAAATGGACAATGTGTTCTCATTCTCTGTTTCTTACCCTGCTCTTTTCTCACAGCCACGCTGTGTGGTGTTGTGTAGCTACCAGTCTGTAACCCAAATGTTGTTATATTGGAGTGGAGAGTTGTGCAGGTCTCCCTGCGATATACAGAGGGTGTATGTTGAATGAGATGCCGAGCAAGCTGCGGTATGACTGTAGATTTCTGCGGGTTTTTTCATGCTGTACGTACCTGCTAATTACCAAAGTGATTTATGTTTTCGGCATATTTTCTCTTTTAATGTTCACTCTCCTTTTTTCAAGTTTCAGAAATGAAGTAATTGTAGTAAGTAGTTATCTCAGAAAGCCTTGGAGAGGCAGAGGTAGTCTGCCAGCCGCTGTGCAGGTACGGTACGTGCTGCGGCTGGGGGCAGGTTAGCATCCCCTGCTCCATGCGCAAGAATCTAGGCTCTGGGTACTTAGGCCAGGGAGAGGGATGCTGCTGGGTGGTGCCTGCTGCGGTTAAGGCCAGCCTGTGAACCCGCTTGTTAATGCCTTCACTCTGCATCGTGGGAAACAGTGAGAGGGAAGAGGATCGTCCTGAGCCCACAGCCGTGTGGAAAGCCAGTCAGCTGGAGCCTACATTCAGCCTCGTAGCAACTGAGCCCGCTTTCCTCTCCTGCCTTTTTGGCTGCAGGAAAGAAATGGAGGGCTGGGGAGGGAATAATTGGTAGTAATCTCCTCGGCCAGCCAGCCGTCTCCTCCTGTTGACCTTGAGGTAATGAAAAAGGGATAGATTCTGCTGCATGTTACCCCTGTGAGTCCAAATAATGAGAGCAGAGAGAAATGATTGTAAATCTACACGGCTTTGCCTGTTTGGAAGTCTGTGCCATGGGGAAAATGACAGGATGTGTTTTATTTTCGCTCTGTAATTCACATAGGTATTCATCCTGAAGTTTTTTCTCTGTGGGTTTTTTTGCCTTATACTTCATTTTACACAGCGGTAGTTTTTATTCAGATGAACTCATTCCCTTTTGTTGACTTAAATTTTCAATATGAGAATAGTTGTATTCCCTGAACCAGCAATATACTGCTTTGATATTCACATTTTATAGAGGTAGTAGATTTCCATTAGTACAGTGGAGTTACACCAGTGTAGAACTGGGCCTGTGAAAAAAAAATAAACCCAAAACACACGTGGGACTTTTTTCTAACGTTTCTTTTAAAAAAAAATATAAGGAAAAGCTCCCCTAAACTGATTCTTGTTTTTACTATAGAGGGAAAATGAAGACTGGCCAAGCTTGTGGATATATCAAAAAAAAAAGAGAACCTGGAATTTGGGAGTTGACTTTCGGATGTAGAGCTGCCATACACAACGTAACCAGAAAGTTGTCTTTGGCAATTTGTTCATTCCCCTCCCAGCAAAATATAATTCATTAAGGCAGTTTCTTGTCAAGCATTAACTCGTAAACTAGGATGAATCTGAGACAGAAAATAATTCAGTAACCCTAATAATGCAGTAGTCCAACTAGTGTGGCCAACGGACAAAGAATAGTAACAAGGTGTTTTAGTACTTAGCTAAGATGCGAAGGCAATGTCAGCCAATAAAATGATGTCATGCAATCAGTGGCAGGGCTTGGTCAACGCAAACTGACAGGTTTGTCTTTTAATCCTACTGCGTGCAATAACAAAAGATCAGGAAGGACTGTTTGTAAAAACAGAGGAAATGTACTGAGCCCACTAGAAGAGCTTGTTGCATTGTTTTTTCTCAGAGCTAGATCTCAAGTGAGCTGATGGCTGCACTGGTGCTGAGCTCCCCGAGCTCCTTGCCTCCTTCCCAACGTGGGATTAACCCCTGAAATGGCCTCAGACCTCTCCAGAGTAAATGGGACTGTGGTGGAGAGGTCTTACAGTTTGCTTGTATTCACACAGTGGAAACATTATATGAGCGTTTGGAGTGAAGCTGAAGCGTAAGGGAGACGCTAACTCCATCACTGAATATGCAGCAAAACAGGTTGACGTACAGAGAATTACAGCATCCTCCAGCCTGAGGGGAGCTCTAAATCTGGCTCTCTGGAGGAGCTGGAATGGTGACCATGCATTTTTCCTCTTTTGAGGACAATTAGCCTGTTAGAGCTTGCCTTTGGCCAGAGAAAACAGCATAGCTGAGCTGTGCTCCTTGGGGAACTGGGGAGGACGGAGGGAGGAAGCCACCCGGCCCTGTGTGCTCTGCTGGGAGGTGATGGCTGGCTGCGGCGTGCTCTGGCTGCTCCCCTGCAGCCGGTGGGCTGGTGGTGATCTGATCATGCAGTAAGCACATTTAATTTGTCAGCTGACTAACCCTGGCCACAAAAATGTGTATTTTCATCAGTTCAGTGTGATGAATGAGGTTGGTTGCAGCAAGATGAGTGCCAGAGCCAGCTCCAAGAGGAAATCATCCCAGGGCTCACAGGGTGAAACTGTCCCCTTTCAGCAATTGGTTTCAGCTCACATCATGAAAATATACCCTAGGCTGACCCTTTCCTTAGGTTACTCTGTCTGGAGTGTTGCTGGTACTCAAGCCAGTGTGATTTTTTTTTTTTTTCCTGCACTGCCATGTTTGAAGGTTGCCTCTTGGGGTCAAATTAATGACCAACCTTAACAAACTCGGCTGACTAGCCCCAGCTAAAATTTTGTTCACCAAAATCTAGCATCTATCAAATAAGTTTTAATGCTTAAAGGCTCTTAGCCAACAAGCAGTTGAGCTAGGAGTTGGTTTGTTTCCAGTGCCTGTAATGTCTTTCATCTCTTTGGGTATTAATATAGGGCCTGATGTAGCAGGGCCATCCTCCACCTCTATGAGGTTAAGATATTGAAAGGGTTTATGGCATCCTTAAGCCCAAATACTACTTTTAGACTGCCTTGAATTAGTGGAAATGTGGTGTGGTGAGATATTCAGGGCTTCTAACCGTCCTCTTAGGAAGACTTAGGGTGTGAATCCAAAGTGGTTCAGGTTGATCCAAACTGGTCCTGCCTTAAAACTGCCCCAAAGTCGCAGGCTTTACGTTGCGCCAGTGCTGGCACTGGGGCTGGGGAAGCCTCACCTGGCTCAAGGTGCTGAAAGAGGAGAAGATGAAGCAGGTCGAAAAATAGCATTATTCTGCTAAACCTGCTCTCCAGACATCTCCTTCATGAGGGAGAAGGGGGAAGTCCTGAGGCGGGTGAGGTGAGAAGCTGGGGCACCTCCGCTTTAAAGTGGCTTAAGCTGTTGTGGACCAGCACCTCAGGATTTCCACATCACCCACGTGTCTTTGCTGCTAAAATGCCAGTTGTAAATAGTAGTCTAAGCAGCGTGAGCAGGGCTGTAGTTAACTGTGTAATTTAAGTCCCTGAGCCTATTTACAAGTTTAAAAGTATGCAGATGCTGGTGTGTTATGCTAGATCAGGATCTTAATTAGGCATGGTTTGAGATAATTGGGTTGCTTTAGCTTCATATGTCAACCTGCTAATTTCAACTACTAAATTAGGATTCAGCTGTAATCCGTGTATGTTTAGTTGAACTATTTCAATTTCTTCCTTACATGAAGTAATCAGTCACAAAAGTTTTGTGATTAATTCTGCTCCTGTATTCTGGTTTTCTGTGGGAGAGGTCCGAGTTCAACACATTCATATCACCAGGTGAATTCAGGCAATTGTGTCCTTGCCCTTTACTGTGTGATGTTTCCCAGTAGATATAAACGGATAAATGTTCTGGATAAATATTCTGAGGAACAAATAAGTACCAAAGTGTCTTCATTTTGTTAAGGAGTCTATTCTTAGGTTGCTGTGCTAGTGTGTATTTTGTGGCTTTTATTTTCTTCTTCCTGGCTTTTAGAAGTGTACACTTGAAAATGAATTGACAAAGTACCAAGCTTGACATTTTTAACAGAAACAAAAAATGTGATGAAGATCACGTCTGCAGTTGAGTCCATGATGAACAATCCAGCCTTTCTCTTAATCCAAGGTTTACATGGGTGGAGTGATTACCTGCTTACAGGTGCAGGAGTATAACTTTGTTTTGTTGTTCCCACAGATGAGCACCATGCCAGGACTGCCCACGAGGCCATGCTTCTATGACATTGACCTTGACCCTGTCACAGAGCAAGTGAAAGGATTGTTTTGAGAGTGACATCCAAATTCAGGTCAGTCAACAGCCTTTATTTTCCTGTTCCAGCTTGGAGGATGTTTGTCTCCGGTATATATATAAAATAGGTTGTCAGGAGTTTATCTAGGCCCTAGTTTCATTGAGGACTTCACACATTTTGGGGGGATTTTGGGGAATATTTTATAATGTGCATTTTCTCACATGGGTTTCTCGTTTGCTGAATGGCGGCCAGCACTTTGCTGGTGTACATTGATGGTGCCTTTTGGATTTCCTGGCTCTGTCAGTTTGGCATGAGGGCGAGCTCGTTCTGCAATTGTACCACTCTTGGCTGTGGAAAAAGTCAATCTGAAGAAACCGTGTCATGTTATTCACCTCAAAAGAAATAATCTAGTTCATCTTTGATACTACTCTCGCATGGCAGTGTGTTTCTGTCATTACCTAGATATCAGGGGAGATGTCTCTCAGCTTGTTCATGAGCTTTGCTTTGTATCTTCATGTCTTTATTTTTCCCTGATTGCTGTCATCTCTCTCAAATGGTAATAAGCATTTGAGGAACGCAAATCTGTCCTTTAAGCCTGTCTGTTTTTCATGCTGGGTTCTCCCCCTTTTCTTTGAAGGTTGCAGTTCCCCCACCAGCTCCTCCCCTTCTCTAAGCACGTAATCTTCTTCGTGTCCTGCTTTAATTTTGTGTAGCACATGTTCCTCACTTAAAAATCCAAGTTGTTATGAAAACATTCCACACTACTCCATTTTAACCTTGTAACATAAGAAGTGGAGTAAGAGAGGATGTAACCCGGACTTGTACAAACCACATGTGTCTGTGATGGGACTCTCTCCTCTCTTCACTTAACTGTCTGCATTCCCCCAGTAAATCATTCTAGAGAGTAAAACAGTTACTTTTACACAGAGCAATGATATTACAGTGGGCTAGAAGGACTGTGATGGGACCCCAGATCAGCCACAGCTTTGAGGTGGATGTGCCCAGGCGCTTGAGCCCTGCTCTAGCAATCCTTGCCTACTCTGGTTTGAGAGGCGGCTTTCATCTTCTGTTTGTGTGTTTGTGGCGGATATTTTTGGAGGAGGGAAGGGATTTGCGCAACCCAACGAGATTACTGTCCAGGCCGAATTAACTGTTCGCTAGCCCATACTTGAATGTCGCAGCATCCCCATTACATCTGGCGAGAGCAGATTCTGCCCTTTCGTGTATACCAGTCAAACAGGTAAAAGGCAGTTAGCTTGAAAGTTAACCAGCATGCACAGGTAGTTACTAGCTTATATGCAAACTATCACTGACTATTCTGTTGCTGGGTAGTGTTACGCGTACCACTTCTTGGCACATATCCCATTTTTGTTACTGATAAGCATTATATATCTGATGGCTTCATGCAGACATATTGATTCATCATGTGTCAGTCATGTAGTTACTTGTGAGTCATTTGGTAGAATCCTAATGTAAAATCTATATGCAGATTCATATAGCCTGCTTAATCGGGTGTTTACTGCCTAGTCTTACACAAATCCATCCAAGCCATGGATTGGTGAGTTTTGAAGAGCCATGATAATTAAGCAGATTAAATAGTCCATTCCAACTGTGAAGGTCTTTGATTTGAAGTTGTGCACGAAATGAAAATGTTAAACTTGGCTTTTAGTCAGTGATGGTGTTTTCTCAGACGTAAAAAGAAATGCTAACTAAGCCACAAAAACATAACAGTCAGATAGGAAATAGTGTATATGTCCAAAAGTTAATAAATTATTTTAATTTCATTATGGAGGTAGTGGTGGCATCAGACAGATGAATTAGTAAGTTTAAGCCTTTTAAAGAAAAAAACAGCCTGGTCATCAACATAGGCACACTCACCTGTGTTCCTACATCTAACAATCTAAATAAATGCCTTGAGAGTACCCAGTGAGCACGACACAAGGTAGTCAGTGTTCACCAGCTCTGAAATTCATCCAGTTCATGTGTTAGATTTGTACATTTCTCATTTTGTATAAAGAGAGAAACAATATTCCTGTATAGTCTTTACTCCCAGTTTTCTGTAGAGAACTTTAGTAGTGTTCTTTGCATTCACACTTTCACTGAAGTGAACCCACACTGTAGCTGATAATACACTTTGAGGTATTTGTGGGTTTGTTTCTATGATGGCAGATAGAAGGATTTTTCTTCTTCTGTTTGGTTTGAATTCTTTTCTTAGGGTTTTAGTGTGTAATGTAAAATTTCTAGTAATATGATATTGCGCCAACTCATTAGGACTGATTCAAATCTTTAAGATGTGGTAATTGAAAAATATTTAGAGATTTGTGGAAGAGCTGCAGATGTTTCATTATAAACATGCGTGCAGAGCTGAGAACAGTTGTTTTAGTGTGCAGTTTATAGCCCCCACTGCAATGCATAGCTTCATGAGACTTGTGAAAGAGATACAGGCATAAGAGTATCTGCTGCTAGAGTAGCTGTGTGGGGCTCTTACTGACCTGAAACTTTGGATGTCATTAGCACCTCTGATTTTTCTCCACCACTTCACTGCGTTAATGAAGCAGGTGATAGTTGTCGCAAAGATTTGCAGAATACCAGTCATTAGAATATACTCTAAAAAGTCATACAAGCAAAAACTTTGTCAGAAAAGTCAGCTGTGGGGTTTTTTTTTCTGTTGACAAATAGCTGATATATGGAACAGTATTACATGCTCTCTGTAGGAGCAATGTGCTCTATTACAAAACTGAAACATTAGTAGCTGGAAATGAACCCGAAGGAATCTGGCTAGTTCTTCATCACTGGCCACTAGCCCATTTAGATTGTACTGCCCAGCTCATACGCTACGAAAACTGGCATTGTTTGCCCTTGCCTTCCCTGGGCCACTTAACCTCAATTTTGGGTGGTCTGCCAGTAGAAAGTTGGGGTTTTTTTTAAAAAAAAAAGAGTATTGTTTGCACAGTGAGGGGAATTTATGAACTTAACCCACTCTGCAAAAGTGAAGTCTGTGAAGGACTCTCATGAGCTCTGAGGATCTCTTAAATTTAATCACCAGCAGCAGATGCCTGCTCTTACTCTGCCGGTTTGGCTTCGGGTATCCGGGTTGATTGGGGGGGGGGGGGGGGGGGTTCTCCTCGGTTGGTTGTGACTTAGTAAGGCCATGGCTGTCCACCGTTGCAGATATATTCTTGCACTCGTCTCTGCTTCAGAACTGGCAGAGCATCAGGATGATTGTAATACGTAGCACAAGTATTTTGCCACCCTCAGAGCTTTTCTGAATGCGAGAGGAATCCCAGAGCTCTGACTGTGAGCATCTTCACGGCTGTAAAGAAGCCCATGAGGGGACGACACTAAAACTGATGTCCTAAAATTGCAAACTGTTTGTTAGGTGTTTTCATCTTAATTCATTCCGATATGGACAGAAAGTGTGTGAAGACCTTTCCTTTGTATCCACAAAACTGATTCTATGAAACAAAAACCTGATTTCTTTTAGTCTCATTCCACAGTATTGGGTTTCAGTCAGCAGCAATTACTGCAATAATGTACAGTCTAAAGCCCATATCATACTGGAATGAGTACAGATTTTTGTTTCTCACCTAGCAGCGTTACACAGATAATAAATGGGAGGTGCATGTGGCATAACTAAATGTTTTTGTTTATTATGGTCAAGGTAAAAAGATCCAATTTCACTATAATACTGCTTTTAGGTTGCGATGCTTCTATTTTTTTTTCTTTAAAGCAAGCAAAGATGTCTTATTTCAATGTATAAATTCTTTATCTTTCTCATTGCAGAAGCCTGGAAGTTAAGATCTGCAACTTTCCTGTTTCCTGCAAGTAGTAGACAAAAATGAAGCTGAAATATTCCTGTTATGTGTCTCTGGAGGAATGTCAAGATAGTCCAAAGAGCAAAAGTTTACTCTTTCTTCAAACTAGTTTTTATGATGAAATATAGCTGTAAGGTTAAAAAAAAAAAGGGCAAAAAAAAGGCTAAAGTTTTTCTCGCGGTAGTGCAGGAAGCTCTCTGCTGGGGCGTCTACTTGTTTGTGGATAAAATGACATTGAGAAAGAGAGAAATTTTTCACCTTAAAGCTTTCATCTTTTCTCAAAGCAGTATAGGGAAGTATTTCCCTTATCTTGGCCATCGAAAAACATGCGTAAACATGAGATTATACTGTGTGATCAAGCCTATTTCTCCCTGAAAAATACACTTTCGCTCCTGGCATTCAGGAGCTGAAACTGCACACAGATTAACTGCACATTTTTGAGTTATCATCAAGCGTTGCTCTGGACGCCTTTGGGCAACAGCCAAGCTTCGAGCAAGGAAGATATTAAGCAGAGAAAGAACAGAGCATGTATTCTGTGAAAGGTTTTTAATATATAATTTGTTTCCTTGTTGGGCAAAGATCTTTTGAAACACACAAGCCGTAGCTGTCTCGTACCCTTAGGTCTCTGTTTATCCAAAGCCCACGTTCCAGGCTGTCCAGCTGATCCTGCCTTTATTGTGGTGAAGCTGGTTGTTCAGAGAGGGCACTGCTCCTCCCGAAGCCCTGTTTTGCTCCTGTTCATGCCTAACGAAGCCTCCTGCCATGCTGGCTCCCGACCTAGAGTTTTTCTTGTCCTGTCCCTGGCAGTACACAATGCCCAGTAATAACAGGGGGGTGTCCATCAAGCAAGGATGCAGCAGGGCACAGCTTTGTTTGGCTTCGTTTGGCAGGTTTTAAGCACCATACTTGTAAAACCGCAGCGTGTTTTCTATTTGAAGGGGGTCTTCAAACAAGTTAAATCCTCAGCCGTGTGCTTTAATTCACCTCAATGACTTAGCTTGCCCATTTTTTCCTAGATCTGCAGCAAAACAAGCCTTAGGCACAGGATACTGCATTTAGCTTTTCAAGCTGCTGCTCCTCAGGAAACTCTCGCTGACTGACTGTTGGTTCCTTCAGCAACCAAACATGCAACAGGACAATAGGTTGAATTGAAACAATAGGCCATTGTTTTTTCAGCTAAAAAGCAGTGAAGTAATGATGAGCGAGTTGATTTTCCTGGTGAC